TTGAGAGAAAAAGGAAGAAAAAATATTTTAAATGAGGGGATGGAAAGATGAAATTCCTCTATTTGATTTTGTTCCTAGGGATGATTGTATAAATTTTAGCTCCTTAATTCTTTTTTTCCCCCTCAAATTTTTAATCTAATAAAAATAATTGTAAAACCTCTTTCCCTTCCCTTTGTTCGTCCCAGCCAAGCTTTATGCTAACTAATTCTTATAACCCAAAGACTCATGATATGGGATCAATACAATCGATGAATAAGTCTCATGAAACAGTAAAACTAATGTATGTAATGTTTATCTGTTGAGAACATTAATTATTACCTGAATTTTATGATTTTTCAGCAAATGATGCTTAAAAGCAAGTTGCTTGTAAATACCGACACAATCGAAGTCACTCTCCATGTGAGGCTGCACAATAAAGTAAAACATGGAAGCACATTTAGTTAAGAATAGTTTCCAATCAAAGAGTTAAAACATAGTAGAAGTTTAAAATAGCAGTACAAGAATGCTCTTCGAATTTTGTGATCTTTTATAACCCAGCTGCATTTTTGGCAGATTGTTGTTATTCCATGCATAAACTTCATAGCATGGTGTAAGTAGATTAAGAACAAGAAAGACTAACAGTGCCATCTAGTTGTGAAAGCAAATCTTGCTTCAAGGTTTATATATTGAATGAGTGTGTCTATCTCGTGAAATAAAACATTTAAAATGGAGAGTGTATTTCTTTTATGAAACGCATTTCGTATAGCTTATTGAATATTAATTTTAATGGCTATTTTTGTTTCTTTGTGACTTTCTTTTATTGATTTTATGAACATCATCTTTTAAATTTGATTTAAAGTACTTAAAATATTTAGTCTTAATTAAAATTATATTTATTACACTTTTATATTCTTAATATAATAAATACACTTTTTAAATAAAAATTTATTACTTTTATTTGCTTAAAAATGTTTTCAAGACTGATATTAATATTTTTAATTAAATGCATATGAAATGTTAAATATGTTTTATTAAATAATATAATACAAAATAAACATTAAATGAGTTTTGTGACTTAATTATAATAATTTTTTTGCTTTTAATGATATTTGTTTTATTTATCAGTGTGAAAATTGGACACCAAAAGCAGCATAGCTTATTTGTCGTTTCCTTTTAATTTACTACTACATTGAAGATTATGTTAAGATACACTGTATCAATTACAAAGCAGTAAATGCATTATTGCAATTTTCATAAAAAAAATAATTTTTTAGTTCTAAATCAATGCTTTTAAGATATTGAATTTAAGTATATTAATGACCAATAAATGGATGCTTTTAAGATATCAATGAAAAATAAATGAGTTATAATTATAAGTATATTAATGATTTTCAGCAAACTAAGGAATGCTAAATAAAATAACTTTTTTTTACTTGACCATTTTTTTATAATTTGAGCCTTTTATTTTATTTTTTAGATGTGTGTTGTGGTACTTTAAATTTTTTTTATGGATATCATATTTAAAAATTTTATACCAATAAAAAAGAAACACACAGCAAATTAAAAATATATATTATTATATATAATTTATTTAAAATTATATTATTTACCACATGATCTTATTATTATTATTATTATTATATTGTATATTAAATTTTTTATTTTATTTTTTGATTTCAAATAAAAAATAATTTATATTTAAATAATTTGTTTATTATAAATAAAAAATTATAACATAATATATTAATATAATAATTAAATAATAATAATAAAATTAAAATATAAAAAATATATTAATATAATATTATTATTTTAATTATTTTATTTTATTTTAATTACGTCTTATTTTTATTTGAAAATTTAACTGTTGTTTAACTTATTTAAATATAATAAATATAATAATTTATTATTAAATAAATTTATTATTTAAATAGATTCTAAATATTATTAATTAAAATTTTTTTAAGTATGATATTCTAAAAATTTTTAAGAGTATCACAAAATTTATCTCTTTTTTTTATTGGATTTAAACTCTGATACTATGACAGAATTTTGGAACGTGAATCTCATTCATGAGTTAGGGGGAAAATTTAAATTTAAAGTTGAGTGACTCATTTGTTTAAAATGTTTTAAATAATTTTAAAATTAAGACTTTACCACTTAGTGTGTTGCTACTCATTAACATGAGACTTTATATCCTACCAACTTAGCATATATATATATATATATATAAGTGATATTTTGCTTTATGAAATAGACTCACTTGAATCAATGATTTCGTTATTAATTGGACTCTTGATTCTATCATAGTATCAGAGAGTATTTTTTTTAACGTGTGGAATGTCCCTTCTATGAACCTTAATCCACTGACGTTGGCTGTCCTCTCACGTTAGCTGTGGTTTTTTTCATTTGTCGCCTTTTATTTTCCCAATTAAATATCTGATAATTTAAAGCAAAATAATCAATGAGGATGATCAATTGTCGTAGTTTTAACGTGGGATAGTTTTTTGTTCCCATATATTAAGAACTATCCCATTATTCTTGATTTGTCTTTTTTTTATTCTAAATTTGTCTTATTTAAAGTTTTCCTAGTGGATTTGGCATGTATATTTTTACACCCGAGTCTAGAAAATAACAAAGGGAACGTGCTATTGATCAGGTAAGATTGATGAGAAAAAGACAATTATTAATAATTTTTATCAGATGAGTACAAATGATCGAAAATAACTTGTCAACACTTAAAATTGATCGACATGTTAGATTTATTCTCTTTTAATTACTAAACTCATCACACTCTATTACTTCTTTAGCTTTAGTTCTCTCCTGACACTAATCTAATATTTTGTTTTGCGTTTTTGCATGTAATAATTCATAAAAAACGAGTGGTAAATGCTCTTCGTAGTTTTGAGTCTTTATATGCACTTTAACGAGTGCAAAAAAATAAGTAATCGATAAATGGATAAAGAGAATGCACTTTAACGGATAAAAAACAGAGTTTAATTTTAACAATAAATTAAAAGAATAGTAATAGAATGTATGAGAGAGATCATATGGATTCACCTACTGTACTTTTTTATGTTGTAATTAATTTAATCCTGATATTGGTATTCAAATATTTGTCAACCACTCATAATTAGTTCTATTAACACCCAGTGATTATGCAATGTCAATATTCTTTTCTCTAAGCAAACACCCCCAATGATCATGTAATGTAATTGGTCGAGAAAGTATGAAAACCCTATGAGTTTGATAATTTAATAACAGCTAAAAGAAAAGAATTAAGTATGATTAACATATCTTCTTCTCTCGTTTTATCCTATAGTTTCGTTAATTACACGTGGTACGATCGTCTACAATGCAATTAACTATAGAATGCTAAGAGTGATTAAATCTTAACATACACAATATAATCCAATAGAATAAAACTAAACATTAAAAGAAAACTAATATCAACATTAAAGTAAAAATCACATAAAGTTTGTAGTAAGATTCGTCATAACCCTAGCTATGGGTTTAAGTACTCATAACAAAATAAACTAAAAAAAACGTAATAAATAAAATAATAACCACAAAGAAAAACTCAAATAAAAAAAAAACCAGAAAAATAGAAGATAAAGAAAGTTCTTATTTTTCGAAGGAGTGTTCAATCACTTGTTTGAACTCCAAGGGAAAGCTTGTCGTCATTACTAATGGTCTTCAATGACTCTCAAAAATGAGTTTGGGTAGAACTAAGAAGGGGAAGAAGGTGTGTAAAGAAGTGGAAGTGTTAAGTGTGAAACATAAGACCTCTTTATATAGGTTGTGCCTGGTTTCTAGTCAGTTGAGCTCTATCTTTTCAAATCGGTTTTATCCACAATCAGAATTCCTCCAAATTTTCATATTTAAGTTTAAATTTTAAATTCAAAATTCAAACACAACTTCACATAGCACTGTTAAGGACTAAAAATATCTAATTTTTATCTAAAATATCTCCATAATGCACTAATAATAACTTTTAGCTAAACTGCAACAATTAATAATATAATTAGTGTAAATATATATAAAATAGATTTTAAGTGTATAAATATCAGTTATAAAATATATTCAAATATGAACTTATCAGTAATTATTTAAAAATTAAACTTAAATATATTTTAAACTTTTACATTTTAATATATTTTATTCTAATTTCTTCAAATATTTTTATTTATTTTAGTCCTTATTTTTTTATAAATTTTTATTTTTAATTTTTACTTTTGATTTAGTTCATTAGGATATTGTCAGATGTCAAGTTTTAGTTGAATTATGTCAATAAAAAAAAACTTAAAACAATAATTTATTCTCTCTTAATTACTAAACTCATCACACTCTATTACTTCTTTAGCTTTAGTTCTCTCCTGTCACTAATCTAATATTTTGTTTTGCGTTTCTGCATGTAATAATTCATAAAAAAACGAGTGGTAAATGCTCTTCGTAGTTTTGAGTCTTTATATACACTTTAACGAGTGTAAAAAAATAAGTAATCGATAAATGGCTAAAGAAAATGAAACTAGGTAAAGTTTAAGTAACGTGAAAGACTTTATGACCTTATAACTTGATTTAATTAATAATTTAGTTTACCTTAATTGATTAAAACATGTGACGTAAAATCATTATTTAAATTATTTTATTAAGCATGTAAATATTTTGCATGACAAAAAATAGAAATTAAGGATAAATTTAAATCGACATTATCGCACGTTTGTATCCACATTTAACTTAACCAACAAGGCGATAAGTGGGCACAGCTAGTAAGTGCTTACTCCTTGGCATTGTGAGGCCAAATTTCTCATTCATGTCTAAGTTATCCGGAGAAATACCCAATGGAAGTGCCCAATTGAAGCAATGCAGCAATTGAGCAAGAACAAACTTAACCGTAGTTAGACCCAAATGAATCCCAGCACAACCCCTGCGACCTGAACCAAATGGTAAAATTCGATAGTCATTTCCACGAATGTCAACATTGCTCTTAGCGAATCTCTCTGGATCAAACATCTCAGCAGTATGTGACCAAACTTTAGGATCTCTTCCTATTGCCCATACATTTATTATGATCCTTGACTTTTTCTTTATGTCATAACCTTCAATGGTAACATCTTCTCTAGACTCACGTGGCACTAGCAAAGGTGCAACAGGATATAATCGCAACGTCTCCTTCACTACCATATTTAAATAGGGCAAATTTTCCAAGTCATGCTCTTCCACATGTCTGTTCATTCCCACTACATTTTCTAGTTCATCTTGAAGTCTCTTCATCACACTTGGATTCCTCAAGAGTTCTGACATAGCCCACTCAACTGTTGTAACAGATGTGTCCAATGATGCTCCAATCATTTCTGTTATAATAGCTTTGATATTAGTTCTATCAATGACGTAATTCTGTCCATCATTAAGATCCATGGGTTGGTGCATAAGTGATAGCATTATGTCCACAAAGTCCTTCTTGCGTGGCCCTTTTTGTTCATCATCAGGTGGATGCTCATGGTCTCCAATTATTTGCTCCAAGACTTCGTCAAATGCCTTGCTTGCTCTCTTTAATCGTCTTGTAAGTCCCTGACGTGCCAATGGTTGTATAAATTATATATATTTCATGCGTGAGAAATACTAGACACACTTATTCTAATCATTTTTAACTCTTAACCCAATAAAGAAATAAAAAGAAAATATTAATGAATGAATTTAAAAATTATTGTTTATTTCCTATATTTTGAGCCAAAAATTAATGACTGTTATTTCTCATAAAAAGAATTAGAGATAAAATTTTAAAACATTGTGTTGCTATTGTTTTTCTTTAATGTTTAGGATAATAATAAATAATAGAATAAAAAAATACTTTAAAAGTTATTTCATTACAAAAGCCTTGCAAGAATTTTAATAATTTCCACACTACAAATTGTTTTAATATCACAATGTTGTGAATTTGAAAACACATTTTTATGTTAGCTTTTAATAAAATTATTTCTAAATTGTTTAGTTTTGTTTCAAATATATTTAACTTTTATTATTATCACTAAAGAATTATTTTAAAATATTATATCTAATGATGATGTTTACTAAAAGAAATCTCAAAATGATAAGTTAGTAGGATATAAAGTTTCGTGTTAGTGAGTAACAATGCATTAAATAATATGTAAATAAAAGTCTTAACTTTTAAATTATTTAAAATATTTTAGACAATAGAGTCATTTAAACTTGAATTCAAATTTTCTCTCAAACCTGAATGAGATCCACATTTCAAAATTATATTATAGTATCAAAATTTAAATCTAATAAAAAATAAATGGCCCAATTTTTTTTAAAAGTGGTAAAAAAAAAATAACAATTAGACAAGTCACAGGTGCATTAAAAAAAATTCAAGAAAAAAAATACAAACCTTGAAATAGAAAGAAAAAAACAAAACAACACCTAAAGTAGAGGCCAAAAACTTAAAGTTATAAGTCCAAAGAAAAAAAAATTGAAATACAAATCTCATATGAACCACATATACGAGAGAGTTAAGATATAAAATTTCAGACATAAAAGAGTATATATAAGTAATATAATGTCATCTTTAAAATTGCTTAAAATATTTTAGACTAGCAAGACAATGAAGCTTGAGAATCTCTTACCTTCTAGCTTCCAAAATCCTAATATAAGTAAATAGCAGATGTGTGAATGGATTTCATACCTGAGGATCAAACACACCAAGCCAAGGGATGTAGTCTGCAACGTTGAAAGCTCCGACCAAGCTCAATATCTCTTCGACAAGTCCCTTTAAGTCGAATCTATCATCTTTAGTGCGCCCAAAAACCATTTTATATACAATGTTCTCCATAAGCTCTCCCACCAACGCACTAAGGTCCAGAACTTCACACAACGCTGCTGCATTTTTTATTCTCTTCACCGATATTCCCACCTCTTCTCTCCTCAAAGGACCAAACATCTCAACTTTTGATGCACTCAAAAGTTGTAGAGTGCACAATTTTCTCATGTTGCGCCAGTAGGCACCATACTCAGAAAACACTAGGCCCTTGTTCTTAAGAATAAATTTCGAAGCTTCAATTTTAGGCCTGCTTGCAAAGAGAGTGTCATGGGTCTTGAGGAATAGTTCAGCTGTTTCAGGGGAAGAAATCACAATTGCAGGAACCTGTCCTAGCTTTAAGGACATTATGGGTCCATATTTTTTGGCTAAGGATTGAAGGCTGCGGTGTGGGAGTTTCCCTAACATGTGTAGGTTACCAATAATTGGCAAGGCCATAGGACCTGGTGCATTTTTCCCATTATTTTGATGTTGTTTTGGATGCAATATAGCAACATATAGAGTGAATATGAATATCCCAAGGATTACGATTGTAGGCATAGCTAATGTTTGAAGTGACATCTCTAATTGTTTGCTTGACGGGAAATAGAGAAGTAGCGGTTGGGTTTTATACAGAGCTAAAATAGAGAAGTAACGGGAAATAAAAAAATTCGTCGATGATAATGATGAAACTTATATTACTTAGTCAGATTCACTCTAGACAGAAAACTAATAATTTGATAATTTATTTTTAAAAAATAATAATTAAATAATAAAGGCAAAAAATTTGTTGTAAGAAGCTAGAAAAACTCAAGAGGCAATAGAACCCCCAATTTGGACCGGAATTGTGTGGCTACCCCTAACGCAGGTCCCTCTCAGTGTCCCTCTTGAATCCATAGCCACTCAAGACAGATAGATATTCTGATGAAACTTTACCACAATAATTCAGTACACCACTTTCACATGACCCATGATGAAAATGCCCGTGCAATCATTCCACATTTGGACTCATGAAATTTTTTTAAATAAATTAGAGTAAATTAAAATATAATAAAAAATAATGATTTTATTTTATGTTTAATAATCTAATCATTTATGATTTTCCCAACATACATGTGAGCACCATGTCAGAATTGGATTTATGTTGGTCAAGGAAAAAAAGTTTATTATCTTTCGTTTTCTGTTCTTCCTGAAATTGTAGTTTCTCATTTATTGCTTTTCAATTTCTGTATCATATTGGAAAAAAAATTTAAATATGAGATATAGATTTCCAGTTTACTGATAATTTTAAATGTACATTAGACAAACTTTATTGTTATATTAGAAAAGATAAAACATTTCTAATAACAATAAAAAAATTTAAATATGGGATATCGACTAGCAAAGTTTTAACTTGAACATAAAAATTAACAATATCAATAAATAATAATAATAATAATAATAATAATAATAATAATAAAAGTTTAATTGTATAATTTATCCTCTTAGAATTATTTAAAAAAATTATTCTGAAATAAATAATCATTTCTAATTTCTGTCCGAAACATTTGAAGTCTCATAGTGTATTAGGCTTCATTGTTAAATTTTGCTTATCTCTTATGAATTTTGTTCTCAAGAATATACCTTCACAGACAATTAATTTGTAATGGATATTTTTAAGAAATTGAAAAGAAAAATGATGTATATTTTTACTTTAAATAGTAATTACAATCAAATTCTTTGTAAATTTTCATGGGTAAAGACAGAAGGAAAAGATGAAAGTAAAGAACTTAAATGCAAAAAGTGAAGGTAAATGATTAAAATGTAAAATAATGAGTAAACTCTTATATTAATATTTGGGATTATAAAAATTAAATATTTTAGTTTTTGAGATTTATTAGTCTAGAAATTTATAAAGCATCATTCACTTTATTATTTTTAGTATTAAATATCAGTAAAAAATTAAAAAAAATAAATTAATGATTAAAATGAATGTGTGACGTCATTGTAATTATTTAAAAATTAAACTCAAATATATTTTAAACTTTTCCATTTAAATAAATATTTTATTCTAATTTATTTAAATATTTTTATCTATTTTTATAAATTTTTATTTTTAATTTTTACTTTTGATTTAGTTCACTAGGATATTGTCAGATGTCAAGTTTTAATTGAATTATGTCAATAAAAAAATACTTAAAACAATAATTTATGAAAATATAAAGATTAAAAAAATAATTTAGACAAACTAATACAACAAATCTATTAAAATCTATTAAAATATAAAGATTAAAAATATGTTTAAACTTAAAAATTATATATTACTCCTTTATATTTTCTTTATCATGATCAATTCCTTACTTTGTTGCTTCTTCGTAATATGGAATTATTTCATCTCATCATGATCTAGATTCTCTCCATGTATGGGTAGAACTGAATATCCAATTCAATTTTTGTTAAGTAAAAATAAATTTACTTAAATAAAAATACAGAAAATAATCAATTTTTTTAAGTAAAATTAGCTTAAGTAAATTTTTTTTACTTAAATAAATTTTACATCTTCTTTTATCCTTCTTTTCATGCCTAATACTCTTTCTTTAACTTCCATATTCAACTTTTTTCCTTCTCTCATAATTAACTCCTTTTTTTCTTTCCCAACTCCCTCTTTTATTCATCTTATGTGCAACTCTTTTCTTTCTTTCTCTTCTCACTCTCACCTTATCCCATACCTATCTTTCTCTTTTTCCTCTTTACTCAACTTTCCATCCTCCTCTCCCTCCACTATCATTTTTATATCACTCGCTCTTCTTATCTTTATTCATCCTCAGTCCTCTCTTCCCCTCACATGTAGCCTTCATCTCCTCAAATGTACAAAATTCGTTTAAGCAAAAATAATTCGTTTAAACGAATCTGTCAAATTCGTTTAAATAAAAAAAATTTGCTTAAACTAATTTTAGGTAAAAAAATTTGTCACTTTCTGTATTTTTATTTAAAAGAGACTATTTTTGCTTAAACGAAAATAGAATTAAATATCCAATTTCTACCATAACTATAAAGAACCTAAATCCTCTCGTCCCAGTCAATGTGTACTAACTTCAATAGTTGGAGCACCCACAACCTAACCTTTGAGAACTAACAAACAAGAACATAACTTCTACTTTATATTCCAAACATAACTTCAGATGTGGATTTATGCAATGATTGATGACCGCTATCTATCTTGTGAAGTGTACCACATAATTAGAACACTGCTGCTTGTTTCTAATGTAGGGAGTGTGCTATAAATTGAATTCAGGCTTTTACAACCTTGCTTGCTAAAGTTTATTGCTCACAATCGAATTAAATAAATAACTCGCTTTACCAATTCTAAGGACACATGATCAGGGTTCTCACCTTTTAGCTTTAAATAGAGATTCGTGTTTCATCCCCTCAAATTCCTCATCATCAAAGAGTAAATTCAAAAATGGTTTAAGAACATCATCTCAGCCGAATACTGCCATGAAACTTAGGTAAAACGTGTGGCAAAGCGAGCTAGTGTGTCCTACCTCTGTCGGGTCATTGTGTCCTGATTTTTAAAGTGAATTTTTAGTGACACTGTTTATGGATGCACCGGTGGGTTAATGAGTTAACCTGCTAGAGACTAAAAACAAAAAAGAAAGTCAGTAGATTAATAGACTAATCTATCTAAGATTAACATAAAAAGAAAAAAATTATAAAAATTAATAATAACTTATATATAAAAAAATTAATATTTAACCAATAAATAATTATATTTAAAAAAAATATTAAAAATAACATTTTATAAGATTATAACGAAACGAACTAGGTAAGTCAGCGAGAGTGCAAAACTTCTAGCTTCACTCACCATTTTGAGCAGGTTAAGTAGACTACTTTTCATAATAAGTTACACAGAAGTAGATTAATTTAAAACTTAATTATAGAACCAGCAAAACATTCGTTATTAAAGAACTAATTAGATACACTGCATAATCGACCTTATTATCGCACCTTATCAATCAACTAGCCGATAAATTGGCATAGTCAGTAAGTGCTTATTTCTTGGCATTGTGAGGCCAAAGTTCTCATCCATGTCTAACTCATCAGGAGAAATACCCAGTGGAAGGACCCAATTAAAGCAATGAACCAATTGAGCTAGAACAAGCTTAACAGTAGTTAGACCCAAGTGAATCCCAGGGCAACTTCTACGACCTGAACCAAATGGTAAAACTCGAAAGTCATTTCCACGAATGTCCACATTGCTATTAGCAAATCTTTCTGGATCAAACATCTCAGCAGTATGTGACCAAACTTTAGGATCTCTCCCTATTGCCCATGCATTTATTATGATCCTTGATTTTTTATTTATGTAATAACTTTCAATAGTAACATCCTCTCTAGACTCACGAGGCAATAACAAAGGTGCAACAGGATATAATCGCAATGTTTCCTTCACTACCATATTCAAGTAGGGCAGTTTTTCTAAGTCATTCTCCTCCACCTGTTTATTCAATCCCACAACATTTTCTAGCTCATCTTGAAGTCTCTTCATCACACTTGGGTGCCTCAATAGTTCTGACATAGCCCAATCAACAGTTACAGTAGAGGTGTCCAATGCTGCTGTAATTATGTCTAATATAATAGCCTTGATATTAGTTCTATCAATGACATGCTTCTGTTCGTCTTGAAGATCAATGGGTTGGTGCAAATGTGATAACAAAATGTCCACAAAGTCCTTGCCAGAGCCTTTCTGTTCATTATTTGATGGATGTTCATGGTCTTCGATAATATGCTCCAAGACTTGATCAAACGCCTTACTTGCTTTCTTTAATCGTCTTGTTAGTCCCTGATTTGGCAATATTTGTGTATATAATATTTCATGTGAGTACACTAGGAATAAATATTCTATTTTTTTAATACTTTCTTGACACTTTTTTGTTATTAAGAAAATTATAGACTGACTTTAAGTATCTAAACTTACAAAATATTTTGTTTAAAAAAATTATTATTAATTATTACTTAAATTCAACTTAGGTGCACTGTGGACCGACAAAATTTTTAAACCTAGGGAGATTGAATCAATAAAGTTACAGGTTAAAAATTTGTTAGTACAGGCAAGCCTCTTATAGGTTATTATGGGCGAGAAAGACTAGTCCATGGACAATTTTTTTAAAAAACACTTTTATTGATTTTAGCTTTTAAAAGTTAAATTTAAATATTTACAAATAATAAATATTTAATAAAAAATATTTATTGTATTAAAAATACAAAGAGATAATACATTTTTTTTTATTTTTAAAGTTTAAATTTAATCTTAGAAATTTAAGATAATAAAATTACTTTTTAATATTATATATATAATTAAAAAATACATAATATACAAAAATTTATTAATTGGCTATGACTATATTCTAGCATTTTGCATTCTTGGTTTAACATTTTTTATTAATATTTAACAAATGTATAACTTGATAAAAATTATAAAAAATATTTTTTATCCTGCGTTTATTTACAATTTCTTCTAACATGAAGATCTAATCCAATATATAAAAGATTTAGTTCAAATAAATAATGATAAAAAATTATAAAAAAATAAAATATAAAAATACAATTAGAGCCAACATTCTTAATTTATGGATATTTTAATCTTTGAATTGAACTAAATTGAGTTACATTAGTATCATTAAATTATTTTGCTAAAATATCAGTTCAAATATATGTAGGTTATTTCTACTAATTTATTACTTAATTAATTTTAACACACTTAACCGTATTTTAATTCTTTTTAAGCTTTGTTTGAGGGGTTTGAGAAGTGAGAGAAAGATAAAATTTAAAGAGTAAAAAAAGATAAGAGATGAAGGAAGAAAGATAATTAATATAATTTTTTTAAAATTTGATAAATTTAAAAATATAAGATTAGAAAGTATATAAACTCTTCATCTCTCATCTAAAAACTCTCAAACAAACATAATTATCATATAAATATTTTTTCATTTTTTTAAAAATTAACTTTCAAATAAAATATTAAAGAATAAAAAACTACGTAATGAATAATTTATTTCTAATTATTGATTAGGTAGATAGATATTCATAACGCATTAAATGAAATAAAATAAAATAAAATAAAATGATTTTATAATCTTACTATTTAAATATTTAAAATTTTTATATAAATTCTAACATACTTTTATAATATATTTTATACTTTTTCTTTATTCTATTTTTTAAACTTTTAATAAAAACAATAAAATGGTTGTGTAAAAAGTTCCCTTTTATTTATACTTATTTTATTTTCACGATGTTTTCTAAACTTTAAATAAACGAGTCATTAAGATGATAAAAAAAATGTTTCATTCTTTTATAACGAATACAAAGCAAAATCTATAAAATTATTATTTTGATATTTGTTTATTTCACACACGTTAAACTTCTGTTATTTTTATTTCCAGAGACGACTTAAATTATTTCTAGCTACTATTCAATGATTATATTATTAAATATTTATTTTCAAAAATTAAGTATTGATCATTATATTAAAACTATGAACTAATTCTATGGGGAAAGTTTTGAATGCCCAAATAAAAATAAAAATTTATTATAAAGTTCAAATCCTGTACGGGTTTATGTTCACAGTCAATCACAAAGTGATATTTTGTAATCGATTGGAACTAGATACGCGTATGGCTCTCAAATCATAGAATAACCAAAGCATGTAATTGAATTTCATACCTGAGGATCAAACAAGCCTAGCCAAGGCATGTAATCTGCAATATTGAAAGCACCAACCAAGTTCATTACCTCATGAACAAGTCCCTTTAACTCGAATCTATCATCCTTAGTGCGTCCCAATATCATCTTAAACACAATGTTCTCAATGAGTTCTCCCAGCAACTCACTAAGGTCCACAACTTCACACGATGCTGATGCATTTTTTAGTGCCTTCACCAATCCTCCTAATTCCTCTCTCCTCAAAGGAGCAAACATCTCAACTTTTGATGCACTCAAAAGTTGTAGAGTGCACAATTTTCTCATGTTGCGCCAGTAGGCACCATATTCAGAAAAAGCAAGGCCCTTGCTACCATGAGAAAGAGATTCTGAGGCTTGAAGTTTCGGCCTGCTAGCAAAAAGTGTGTCATGGGTCTTGAGAAATAGTTCAGCTGTTTCAGGAGAAGAAACCACAATGGCTGAAACCTGTCCTAGCTTTAAGGACATTATAGGTCCATATTTTTTTGCAAGGGATTGAAGGCTGCGGTGTGGGAGTTTCCCTAGCATGTGTAGGTTACCAATGATTGGCAAAGCCTTAGGACCTGGTGCGATTTTCCCATGATTTCTATGTTGCTTTGGATGCAACACAGCAACATATAGAGTGAATATGAATATCACAAGGATTATTAATGTAGGCATAGCTAATGTTTGAAGTAACATTTGTATATAATTGTTTCCTTAATTGATAGGAGGAAACAGAGGAGAGGGACTTGTATTTATATAGAAATGATGTACGAGGTGAAAATAAAATAAATTCTCTACCCACTGATCACGTGGTAGCACAAACTTTATAAAACGATTAATTGATCTGGGTCCTTTGTAATTAACATTGAAATATTATTCAAGGAAATAGTTTTAAAATGCATTATGGTGTCAAAAAGATTCGTTTCTTGGTATGTGGACATAAAAAAAGAGATTTTTTAAAAAAGAATATATTCAAAGAGAAGAAAAGTTTTCTTTTTTTATTACCTATTCATTTAAAAATTAACGCCATAATAATTATTGTTTTTACTAATGTATTTTTTTATATAATATTTATACTATTTAAATAATTAGAGAGTAAAAAAATATTAATAAAAGATAATAAGAGAATAATATATCAAAAAAAGTAAATATAAATGAAACGTGACAGCAAGAAACATGTAAGATAATAAGTGCAATTGTTTACGAAAAGCACATGCAATGAACTCGATCATTGTAATGAATCGAGTAACTCAATCAATCTCTCTGAAAGTCAGTGTTAGACAGCCTAAACAGCGACATGCATTTATTAGAAAGTTACGTTTACGTCAGTCTTGAAAGATATGTCATAGGATAAGACTTATTTTATAAAAAATATGCTAATTATAGGTTACTTTTTTTAATATTTTTTATTTTTTATAAAATTACAAAAATTTAAAATTTAAAAATTGTTATTGACGATTTTTAAAGCAGTATAAATATTTAAAGATAAAAAATTAAAAAGTTTCAAAATTTATTAATAATAATTTTTTAAAAATTTATTAAAAAATAAAAGTCGTTAATGATAATTTTTAAAAAAATAATTAAATATTCAAAAAATATATCAAAAGTCGTTACTACATTTCCAATAACAATTTTTGAAAAAAATCATATTTTTATAATTTTACAAAAAATTTCATATTTTTTGAATTTTTAAAAACAAATTCATAGATAAAAAAATGTTTCGCTAACTATATTTTTAATTTATACGAGAAATCTTAAATACCCGCTCATGCTCAAGCATCTTATCCATAAAGTTTATAGGAACTAAGCTTAACTTACTCTACTAATTAGCTCATAAAAAATATTAAATATTTAACTAACATAAAAAGTCTTAATATGGTATCCAATGAAACTTAATTTCACAAGAATAATTAAATATATACTTAAAAATAATATTGTTTAACATATGATTTAAATATCTATACCAAACACCCTGTATAAATAAAAATATTGTAACATCTTGTACTTTGATTTAAATAAAATAAAGTTTGTTAAAATATAATTGAAATAAATTTTGATAGAATTTATATATATATATATATATATATATATATATATATATAAATTCTATCAAAATCTATTTCAATTATATATAAAGTGAACAGTAAAATCGCCTATGAACAGTAAACCGCGTATGAACAGTGAAACTACGTATGTACAGTGACAATGACGTCATCAGTGACATCATGGCTAACATCACATCCGTGTACAGTACGTGTGTACAGTATTTTCGACGTAAACAGTGACCATGAACAGTGTTTATGGGTGAACGATGTTTCCAGCGATGAACAGTAATTCTGGCGGTGAACAATAACTTTTGAAAATTTTCTAAAAAAAGGGGGTTTCAAATGAAATTTTTATTTCTTCACTCTTATTCAAGGTTCTCAAAGGTTCTGAGGCCATATCTCGCCATTTTCTCTCACACTAAACCTCCCAAACTTAGATTTCTCTTTAGATCTGTGATTCTATGTTCGTTCTAAAGGATTTCAAGTAAGTTTCTCTAAGTTTGAAGTTAGATTTACCGTTCGTTTCTCTTCTTCTTCTTTTTCTTATAGATGTTCATGGTATTCTTAGGAAAACCTCCGTTCTAGAATTAAATCTTCGGTTAAATTCTTGTAAAAGCTCTATTTTGAGGTAAGGGGGCTCGACTTTATCATTTTGTTATGTTTATTACTTGTATTCTCATAGATCTTGTTATGTATGTGATTATATGTGGAATAATCCTTGTTTTATGAGAAATAATCAGTAAAAAGTGAGAATAATTGGTTGTTTATGTAATCTTATGAGGAATACATGATGAAGATGTGATATTATGTTCAAATAGGGCATAATAAGCTATATTGAGGATGGTTGATATGATTTTATGATTCTGTGACACGAAATATACAAAGAGATGGATGTTTCATGCTTGAATATATTGTGTTTCATGAAAAAAATGATATGTATTGTGAATATGCTATGATTTGATGAAAAGTATGTGAAAATATGATGAAAAATATATGTGAACATGAGAAATACATATGTGAACATGTGAAAATACTTGAAAGAGTATGAGATGAAAAAAGGATATGATGTAAATAGTTACAAAGATACATTAGGAAAGTGGAAGATGAAGACGATGTGTGATATCTTGGGGAAATGTAGGGTGGTGAGTGACATTCAGGATTGTGCATGGAATATTGTATTCGAATGCACCACATGGCCACACACTCATTTTTCGACTTGACTTCTGACCATTACCTTTGCTAAGGGGCCGTCTATTACATGCGTTGTATTTGTATTACATTGGGCCATCCGACGACTATTTACATGGATGTGTAAGACCTCAGGATAGAGGTATCGAATAACTGTTGCCACAGGGCACGGTAAGCACAGATAAAAGTAAAAGAAATTGTGAATTTGTGGAATATAATATGTGTTGAGATGAGAAAATGCTTTATATGACACTGTAATATGTAATGTCATGATGTTTTCTTTAATTGTGATAAGATTTGTTTTGTGATGAATATGTGTTATGTATGAGTGGTAGGGTAGAGACTCACCCTTACACAATATTTTCAGGAAACCAGGACGAATAGTATCAGGCTCACAGTGCATGGATGGATGAGAACTACTATAGGACTTAGTTATTTTGAGTTATGTAATAGATCTTTTCAGTTTTATAGCATTCTTTTGAAATAGTTGTAAAACTACTATTTCTTTTTGTTGTTGATGAAAATTTTAGAATCTTTGTTTTTCTAAAGAACTTATATGAACCTTATATCATTTCAATGTCCCTTTCTTATTAGAGAGTTTTTGAAAGAAAATTTACTTTACCATTTAAATTTTTATGAAAATTTATCATACATTAAGAAAAGAAATATAAGGTGTTACAAATATAATATAAGTGTTTTTTAATTTAATTTACACAAATTATGTTATATTTATATAAAGTGTTTATACCAAACACTCAAATCTATTTTTTAATTTTAAATTTATAATATTAAGTATTTTTTAAATTATTATTTTTAATATTTTTAAATTAATATCACGTGTCAACATCTCACCTATTATCAGACTTGATATGGAGATAGTAATATCGCTGTAAAAGTAAAGATAGCACTATCGTCCCAAAAAAAAGTGAGATTTTCATTTTGCGCTTAATACGTGTTATTATTGGAGTAGATATCGACCTGATATGTGCGATACTGTTTAAAAAAAAAAATAGTATCGTGTGTAAATTTTTGATACATCCACTTATGTGGCAAAAAGAAGCTTCAGAGAAAAATTAATTTTAAATTAACCCTATTTTTTAAAATAATTTTTAAAATTGCATTATTTTAATAAAATTGCCGTCAGATTAAATGGATGGAGGTTTTTTTTCGTGGTTCATGATTTTCACGTGGTATGTGTCTATGTGAGCTCTTGAGAGATATATACTAATGCGTGGTGCTGGTACAATTCCGTACTAGTAAGGGTGGAAGAGTTTACGAAAAATTTATAAATGTTAGGGATTATCTCGAGGGAAAGACTATCTTCATACCTCTTTATATTTTTTAAAATTTGTAACTTTTATTTAATTTATATTTAAAGATACGAGACTTTTAATTATAAATTTACAATAATAAATAAAATATTTCATTTTATATTAAGAATGTATGAAATAAAATTAAAAATAATTTTTCTAATATTATTCTTTCTATCTTTTTATTTATTTATTATAGTTTTACATTTTATAATGTAAAACTATTTAGTAATGCAATAATATTAAATTAATACTCAAAGATTAAAAAAATATTTCTCATATAGTAATGAAACAAACTAATGTTAACACTATATTTAGTAGTATAAAGATTAGTAGAGGTTTTCAATGTCGAAAAAATTTGTTCAAGAATATTTCTTTTCTGCAAAAATGTGTAATAGTGTATCGTACATAATGTATTGTAAAATTAACATAAAACCATAACCAACAAATGAGAAAGTATATTGAAAATATTAAAATATTTAAAAAATATAATAAATTAAAAAATCAGTTTAGTATAAATCTAGTTTTTTAAAATTAATTTAATATTGATTTGTAATGATATATTTTTATAAAATAAAATAAAAATATCATACTTTTATTTAAGAATGTTCTTTTCTTATAAAAGTGTGTAATAAAATATTGTACTAATAATGTATTGTAAAATTAACCTAAAACTATAATGAACAAATGAGTAAGAAAGAATAATGTTAGAAAGAAAAAGATAATCTTAATTTTATTTTCACACGTTCTCACTGCAAATTAACTTCTTTAGACATAAATTTACAGCCCAAAAATCTCATCTATTTAAGTGTGCAGGAAAAAAATTATTATAATCTCTTAAGTAAGAAAAATGAGCATTCACTCACAATGCAACATATTGTACGTCAAACTAGTATCAATTTGATTCGTTAACTTTGGGCCATACTAAGAAGCTGATATGTTGGCACAGCAAGTAAGGGTGTGGTTCTTGGGCTTGTTAGCCCAAATTGTTCTTTCATGTCCAAGTCATCAGGAGTCATGCCCCATGGAAGCTTCCAATTAAAGCAATGCACTAGCTGAAATACAACAAGTTTAACAGTAGCAAGACCCAAGTTTATCCCAGGACACCCTCTACGACCAGAACCAAATGGTATCAACTTAAAGTCATATCCTCTAACATCTATATTGTTATCAATGAATTTCTCAGGATAGAAGACATCAGCATTATCAGACCAAACCTTAGGATCTCTCCCAATGGCCCATATATTTACTAGGATTTCTGAATTTTTCTTTATGTGATAACCATTAATCATAGTATCCTCTCTGGAGAATCGGGTAATGAATGATCCAGCAGGATGCAATCTCAGGGTCTCCTTAATCACCATATCCAAGTAACTCAACTTTACTATATCACTCTCCTCCACCAATTTGTTCATTCCAACCACAGTGGCTAGCTCATGTTGGAGCTTTTTCATCACCCTTGGATGCCTTAATAGCTCAGATAATGCCCACAAAATAACAGTTGAAGAAGTTTCAAATGATGCAGCAATCATGTCTAAGACAATGGCCTTGATGTTTGTTCGATCAATGGCATGGCTATGTTCATCATACGGGTCAATGGGTTGGTGCATCATTGAGAGTAATATGTCTACAAAATCCTTATGGCTGCCATTTTGTTCAATGGAAGCTTGTTCATGTTCTTCGATTATTTTCTCCAACACTTCGTCAAGTGCTTTACCGGTTTTCTTGAAGCCTCGTCTTAGTCCCTATTAATGATATTTACATAGCTAAATTATTCAGTATGATTGTAAGGACACCAAAAGGTGCAAATAAAGGGAGGAATTCCCTTAAATCTTTCTAACAGACCTATGCAGTTACCGTCAAACATGAGTATATATGTTTTGGTTGATTAAAAGGTGTTTGTGTAGTTATTATATGGAGTAAAATTTATGTAAACTACAGAAGTTAATTTATTATATATTAAAAAATATATTAAATTTTTATTTCACTTTTATATAAAAATTTTATTAATTCACTTAAGATCTATTTGCTTACGTCTTGCGTAACTAAGACAAATCTTACAAAAGAAAAAAGCTGAAATCCAAAAGATGTACTTCACGACTTAAGTAACTTCTTTTCAGGTGGCATCATTGGAAAATCAATTTTCAGTACATCTTTTAAATTTGACTAAGTGACAGTGTAGAAAATAGAACCCAAAAACACCCATCTAAGAATCAGACCGATAACTGTGAAGTGTGAACAGAGGGCATACAACACATTCAAATCTCTGTAATTGACAATGTCATTACTCAATTTCACTTTTATGTCGACCGATTCAACTAGAAGAAGAGAACATAAATAAATTTAAAAAACTTAATTTCTAAAACATGTGTCAAAAATTGGATAACACATCTAATTATTCTCTAAAATTACAAGCATCAATCACTTTTAATTTTAAATCATTAAATTTAATTGAAACATCTATATAAATGAATTTAAATCACATATTTTACATGAACATGTGTTTCTTTATTAACAATTTGTAATTAATTTTATGACTTTAAAATAAATAAGCCCCAAGTAATAAAAACAAGTGTTTAATAGGCACCTTAAATCCTAATAGGTGTTTATATTTTAAGAGAGAGAAAAAAAAATCAGCATGACGAATGATATAATATAATCGAAAAAAAAAAAAGAAAAATGAAAGATATTAAATAATCATTAGAAGTATTAGTGTGTTTATAAATCAAAGTTAAAAAGAAATGTAACCTGTATATCGAACACCCGAAGCCAAGGCACAAAATCTGAAAGATTAAACTTCCCAGCAAGGAGCGTAGCCTCTTGAAGAAGCCCCTTCAAATCAAACTTGTCATCTTTACTACACCCCAACACCATCTTATACACAACATCCTCCAATAGCCCCGTCACCACTTCACTGAGGTTCACCACCTCACCCACCATTGCCCCTTTCTGCAACGATTTGACCACTGCTTCCACCTCCATCTTCCTCAAAGCCCCAAAGGACTCAACCTTAGACGCACTCAGAAGCTGCAAAGTGCACACTTTCCTCATTTGGCGCCAATATGTCCCATACTCAGCAAACACCATACCCTTGTAGCCGTAAGAGAAGTACTTGGAGGCTTCAATTTTGGGTCTGTTCGCAAAAACTGTTTCGTGGGTCTTGAGGAATTGTTCAGCAGCTTCTGGGGACGAGACCACAATAGTAGGAACCTGTCCCAAACGAAGAGACATTATGGGACCATATTTTTGGGACCAAGTTCGAAGAGTACGATGGGGAAGGTGACCCAACATGTGGAGGTGACCTAAAACCCATAGAGCCGGTGGACCTGGTGGTTGTTTCCTGTGATGTTCCCTTCGTCTTCGCAATAGCGTTGCTGATAATATGAATATCACGGTCAAAACGATCCATGAGATTGCAAATGTTGAAGGAAACATGGTCCTGGAAATGTTTGGTGATAATCATGAGATCACCATACTATTGATTGGAGCTGTAACTATCAAAGTTTGGTCAAATATTGGGCCTGCTTTGCTATTCGCACTAGATTATGGTAGATTAATTAAACGGACTTGACCTAATCAACAAAATCCATTGATATCTAGTGAAAATATAAAATATAAAAGAAATATTATTTCTTTATACATTATCTTTATGATTCATTCTTTTATTCATTTAAATCACATCTTCGTCTTGTTTTATATATTCTATTTTAAATCATTCTCACTATTATAAAAAGTACAAAAGTATTATGCAAAAATATTAATGTAAAATATGAAAATTCTTTTGGGCCAAGTTGACATCTTCCTCGTAAGTATAATATTATTAAGCCTTTGCATTTTTTCCCCAGTTGTCACGTAGATTGGTCCGATTGGATCCAACATTCGTTTAAGAGTATTGTAAAATCTTGGACCGAAAAAAAAAAAGGTAAATCGGATGAATCTGATGAGATAACATGTGCTTTTATTATTATTATTTTGTCGTGAGATCTGTATGCTTGGAATGATACGTGCAACATGGGGTAAGCTACCGGCTAGAGAAAAAAAAAATTATAGTGTTTTGGGAAGGCATGTCAAGAGAATAAGTAAAAATTATATTTATAAATTCTCATATTTATAAAATAGTTTGGGATTATTTAAGCCTCTATACATCTCACCTACGTCGGCACTTACCCATTATTATTTGATTTAACAAAAATGCTAACACTTTTTTTTTATTTTGATTAAAAGATAAGCTAATAATACATTCTTTATTGTTAATTAAAATTTATTAAAAACTATTATAATTTTAAAATATTAATTTAAGACTAAGATTTATATAATTTTTATAGTTTTTATTTAATTTTAACTAATAATAAGAGTTTGTATTACAAAAAACATGTGTTAGAATATGTTACTAGCATTATTATTATTTAATAAAAAACATGATTTTTTACTACTCAAAAGGCAAAATAACCAAGTTTACAGCTATCCAAAAATAATTAAGGGCTACTACAATCCAACTTCTAACACATGATACATAATAAGAATAGCAATTATAATGATAGTAAATATCTAGATTTGATAGGAAATTATTAGTAACTGAATTTTCTTTTTCTTTTTTCTAATCAATAAATTTTTAAAAAAATTAGTATCAAGCTTGAATTTTTCAAATAATTTATTATTTATTTTTAGAACATGAAATATTCGCGAGATTACATTATGTGTGTGTATATATATATATATATATATATATATGATGAAGTTGAGATTCATATAAATCAGAAAGATTATTCATATTTTTACTTTTCAACGCAAAATAATTCATGTTTGTTAAATTGGCGCTTGATATCTTATTGTTTTGGTACTATCCTCCTGAGAAGGAGATTGCCTCTTCAAACAATGTTACAGCCGCCAGTGTTTCTTATGGAAACTAAATTAGTGTTAAGGTCAAGTAGGATGAAGGAGACTTACATTTAATATGAATGAAAAGTTGAAAAACATATAAATGATAAATATATATTATCTAATAATTTTAAAGTTAGGTTATGCATGCTTGTGTGATTTGTTTATACCCATTGATAAAATATCTTTCCAAGTCTTAAACACCTTGTATGTTCCATGGAAAGAGATTGGCTAAAATGGATGTTAAAGTATTCATGGTTAATTGCACTTGTGGTTAATGAAGATTTTTGTTGAAGGCCCATTATAGATTGTGTTTTAAGCCCATTTATGGCCCATTATGTAAAGTATTAGAACTGATAGTTTGTTTAGGTAATAATCATATTAAAATGAAGTTATGCTAAAAGATGAAGAGAAATAAAAGATTAGTTAAAGAAAAAATATTCTTTTAACAAGTTGAAGAAAGATTTATTGGTTAATGTATTTTACAGCAAAAAAAGATTTTAACAGAATTAAACAAAAAATTGAGGAAAGTTGAAAATATATGAAACTTTAAATAATGAAAATATTTATAGGGCTAAAGTGAGCTATTTGTCCAAATTCTATGTTAACAAACTTAAAGAATAAAAAGATAAAAAAAATATTATAAATATAAAAATTTATTTTATGTGTATTAGAGACTTGAAATAGTTGTGTTAAGTAAAGATTTACAATTTTGTCTATTCAAAAATTGTAAAGGTGATGGTTTGTAATTTTTTTGAACAAATATTGTAAAATAAAGGGTTTGTAATTTTATCTTATACAAAATTATAAAATAATAAAATTAATAGGAAAGGCAAAAAGTCTACCTTTCACCCAACAACTAGAACAATTTTATATTAGTGTCAAAGTGATTTTTGTTTAAAGGAGTATTATATATTCTTCATATAAATTTTATATTTTACTTCATACTTTTCCATGTTGAATATTATATCTTAATTTATCTTTACATAAATATCACTTCTAGTATTTTTATCTTCAATGTCACTATTTAGTTTGCTTCATCATGTCTAAAGTTAAAAACTTTCTTTCTATGCATTTTTAATATACTTGTAAGAAAATTAAAATTATTCTTTAAATTATAATATTTTTTGTATTTTTATAACTACAGATTGACTATATTAAAAAAAAAGCATTAGAATAAAAATGATAAAATAAATTATAAGAACAATATGATGAAGCAAATAAATAGTAATTTCTACTATAAAAATACTGAAAGTGATACTCACATAAAAATAAATGAAACATAAAATCTTTTTAGAATATTTCTTATTTAAATCTAAAACAAAAAGATATATATAACGAAGTTTAATGTAATGAATTGAAAATGATATAAATTTTTTTAAAAAGTTTAAAATGCTCTTCTAAATATGATAAAAAAAATATCATTTGGTATTAAGTAAAAATATCAGTATAATGATATGAACAAAATTAAAAATAATTTTTAGTATAAAAATTAATATGTAATTTTTTTTATAGAAACTAAATTAAAATAAATATTGTATAAGAATTAATAGATAATTTAATATGATTGTTAAAAGAAAAAACTAATTATTGTACAAATTTAAAAATTTATATACAAATTTTTTATTTATAAAAATTATTCTTGTGCGGGGCTAAAACATCATTTCTCTCCGATAATTATAATAATAATAATATTGGATATAATTTGGTTGGGTGAGTTGGAGTGAGCGTGGAGGCTGACATGGTTGGGCCACTTCACATAAGAAGACTTTTATATCCCTTCGACCAACCACAACGATTGCCTTAGTGACTCTGTCTATTTCAACAGTCAACACTGGGCAGCAGAACACATAAACACAACCCTCTGATTCGATAACGGTGGAAATGGAAGGAGGATCTCATCCCTATGTCCCACGGGATTTGCAGTTACCCGGTTACGTTCCTTGCTTTCTTTCCATGTCCAACATTGTTTCTGTCTTCGCTATCTCTTCCCTCCTTGTCGTCTCTCTCGTTTGGTTCTTCTCAGGTACCCCTTCATGTTCCTTCTCTTTTATCTTTTATTGATTGAAGGACCCATTTGCTAGATTAGCTCAATTATCCGAAAAATGCCTTTATTTTTTTTGTTGTTGCAAACTATGATGACATCAAAACATAACGTAGATCTACTTTTTCTTTTTTTTTTTCAAAAGGTGAACAATGTGTCTTTGAATCTTTGTTTGCTTTTGTCGAACATTAGATCCACTTTTTCTTTTTTTCATTTGCATATCTGGCTGAATAGATTATCGTTGTATGATTTAAAGATTATACAATGTGGCCTTGTGATTAACTTTGCTCTACTTGTGATTTATTTTTCAATTCTTCTTGACAGTATGTGATTAACTTTAAATGATGATTGTTGATTCCAACAAGAATATCAGATTAAATCCTATAAGCCAAATTTGTTGTTTGTACATTAAAGGAATCATATATCAGTTCTCAGTTTACTCTATATGTTCTGTTAGTTGCTTTGTTTTTTAGAGTGCATATTTTCTTTCAATTAAGCTCTTCACCAGGCACTCACATGACAATATCATTATCATTCCTATTTGAGTCTCTATCATCTGAATTGCGGAAATGGTATTGGGTTTTCTGATTTTGTTTACATGGGTATGTATTTGCTTTCCCAGGGGGCAAGAAAACCAAAGTTGATAGATTGCTAATGTGCTGGTGGGCATTCACGGGCCTCACACACATGGTTCTTGAAGGTTACTTTGTTTTTGCACCGGAGTTTTTCAAGGATAAGACTGGCTTCTACCTTGCTGAAGTTTGTAAGTCACTTAATTGTTCTTTGACATCGATCACGGAAATATCTTTGTTAGAATTTGAAGTACCTTTGGAGGATTTTGCTGTTTTAGTTGATGAAAGTTTTTTAATGAACAGGGAAGGAATATAGCAAAGGGGATTCAAGGTATGCAGGAAGGGATGCAGGAGTGGTTACTGTTGAAGGGATAACAGCTGTTTTAGAGGGTCCAGCTAGTCTTTTAGCAGTGTAAGTTGAAAATAAAGAACAAAAGACATCGCAAAATACTAATGCTATATTGTTGCCCTTTGACCTGTTTTTATCTTCTCTTGGTTTTCAATTTTTTCGCCTCACTGTTTGTGTTGTCAATATGGATTGCAGATATGCTATAGCTACTGGGAAATCTTATAGCTATATACTTCAGTTTGCCATTTCCTTGGGCCAGCTATATGGAACTTTTGTATATTATATAACAGCAATCTTGGAAGGTGATAATTTTTCTGCAAACACATTTTACTATTATGCATACTATATTGGTGCAAATGCATCCTGGATTGTGATACCCTCAATCATTGCCATCCGCTGCTGGAGGAAAATCTGTGCTGCATTTCGGGTTCAAGGAGGTCAGACAAAAAAGACTAAAGTTCGTTGATGAAGTCCTTTTCAGGTTATTGGGTTTTGAAGATCCTGTGGTTAATAATGATGTGTAGGGGTGGTTGAGATAGGAGAGATTGTTTTAAGAATTGTGTCAATTGGTTTTTTAAACTTAATATCTAGGGAAAGAAAAAGAATCCACTGTTATTTGAGTAGGTTACGTTTTAAGTTTTGAACGGAATATTTTGCGATCGTTCATATGAAATTGAGTGTTAACTGGCACATGCTAGAATATAGACTCCATTGCTTTTGCTCTTCATAGCTACACTTGTTCTACTTCTTTCCCTTAATTTTTTCTTCAGAAACAAAAAAAAAAAGTTTTCGTTTGTTACTTTCAATATTTGATCTTGATGTAGTGTCTTAGAGCAGGTGCTGAATTTGTGTTATATTATATATAGATTTTAAAATAAAATAGAATACTGAACCATTTTTATAAAACTAAAATATATTGAAAATATATCTGATCTGATCACAAACCACCAAATCCTTGTCATAATTCTACAATTCTAATCCTCAGAGAAGCTTACATGAGGCTATATTCTTTATTTTTTTAGAGCTTTTGGAAAACATCACAAAAGATCATGATTGTATCCTAGAATATTTTTTCTTTCACATAACAAGAATCTTGTTATGCTTGATAACTTGTGACTTTATTAATATTAAGCAAACCACATGGGCACATTCGAGCTTTGAGAAATTTTACCTTAGCTATCCTGTTTCCTTAAGATTGCTTGCTAGTGAGATGCTGACCATGATGATGAAGTAATAGAATTCCTTTTTAAAAATCTCTCATATGTAGGTAAGTATATTTGGTGTCATGAAGGAGGATGTCATTTTGTGCATATAGAGAATTTATGATATTTGAAAATTTTTAGCTTATATTAAGCTGAAATATTCAATCTAATATGGTCTGTAGTTTCTGCCAAGTTTGCTTAATTTAGAAAAATAAATTAGTAATGCAATGCTTCTCCGGGTCCTCACCATTTACAGTGCTGAGGCAGATCTACTGCTTATTGTTTACTTTTATAATAGTGCATTAGTTGGATCTTGAGTTGCATTTGGTTGACTAAGATAGGTTAATTTTATTGTTCTATTGTCAATGAAATGAATGAGATGCTCCCCTTCATGTTCTCAATCACCAGCAATTAATATAACGTTGCTTTGACCAGAGCAAGATTATTTTACAACACAATGAATCAACTCAGTGTGTGTTTGAATTTTAGTTTGAATGATCATGGATCCACGTTTACTTGTAACTTCTGCATTAAATCTATATTTACATTATTTTTAACGTGTTTTCAAACATGCATTCGATCATTAGTAGACACGATTCTGTTTTACTAATTACGTTGGAAAGGCTTGAATGTGATGTATAATCTCGTTAATCCAATGCACCACTTTGATTGGTTCAACATTCCCAGCCATCACAATTAATTAATCGAAAAAAATAATCAAAGTCATCTACGTACCTCGTAACACATACTTGCAAGTAAATAAACACGTATTTTCATCGTGAGAATTTGAGAAAGGTATCAAAATTGCAATAAGTGTATTTGTTTCATATGTATGAAATAACTGTAAATTGATATATGTCTCGAATTTTATTTTCTAATAGCCAAATGAAAAGGCACCATAAAAAAAACTCCAGAAATCTGATGCACAAAAAATTACCAGTACTATATTTGCACATACAAATTCCTCAGCAACTAACTCTATTCAATAATCTGTGGTACAAATATGTGACAGTATAAATAAGATGCTACTTCAGCTTTGGGCTGACAAAGTTTTGGGTTTCCAGGATTCTAACTGTGAGTTGTTTTTCAACTCAAAACAATCATTTCTATAAAAATAAAATCTTACAAAAAGAATTATAACTAATTTTAAAATTTGCAATCACTGAATCTACACTTAGTACTTATATTTTTAGTTAAATTATAAATTTAGTCTATATATTTGACACATTTTTTTCAATTTAATTTTTAAACAAAAAAAGTTACAATATAGTCCCTACATGAGTAAAAAATGTTAGATTAGTCTTTGCTGTTAAAAATATTTTGACAGCGTTAGATGAGTATGATAAAAATATATTAAAAAAACTCGTAAATATTAATTATAAATTAATTTATATACAAGTGTTTAATATAAAAAAATAAATGTGTATTCTAACGAATAATAAAAAAACAAATGAAGTATCGAATAAAATTTTAGAAAATTCTAGAATATATATATATATATATATATAATTTATATTTAGTGTAATTTAATATCCTAAAGATAATAAATATTTTACTTCTTATAAAGGAAAAAGTATTTTTTAAATATTCTATAAATATTGATATATGATTAAAATTATAAAAAATTTAATGTTAATACTTTATTTATTTATTTGAAGGTATGATAAAAGATAAAATAAAAAAATATTAATTTGAACTTTTATGACTAAGTTTAAGCAACTAACTTTAAGAAAATTTTATTGAAATGAAAAATATTTATTTACACTTTTATAAATTTAGTATAATGCATATATATTTTTTAAAATAAAAACTTACTTTGAGAAGCTTAAACTTAATTCAAAGAAGTGAAGTTAATAAAATTTTATTAAATAGAATTAATTTTTTATTAATCAAAATTTAAGTGTATTTTGAATATAAGATTAACAAACTCAAATTTAAGAATTGAAATTAATTTTTTTATTTTACATTCAAATAAATGAATAAAGTATCAATATTAATATTTTTATTATAATCTTTTATTTTATATTAATTTTTATAAAATATGTGAAAAATATTTTTTTTATAATTACTAACTACACTATATATAAGTTTGCTTGAAAATATAACTTTTAAATTTTAAAAATTTTGTATTTTTATATTTGGTATTTTAGTTTAAATACATGATTTTTAAGTTAATATTTATTTACAAATTAACTCTTATAATTAACACTTACATTTTATTTTTTATATATTATTTTTTACATTTTAAATATATTTTTAATGGTAAAAATTAATATAAAAACGTTGACTTATATAGAGATTAAATTATAATATTTTTAATATAATGAAAAAAATTAAAAAAGGGTGATAAGTAGGTAAACTAAATTTATATAATTTAGTGTGTAAATAAATGCATGTTTATATATCTTCTTTACACAAATGTAAGTGTGAAACTATCATTATTCTGTCCCATAAATGCCTCACAAGAATGGGTGTGCAGCCGGAGTCATAAATGCCCATTGTTGTCAAGTCTAGACTCTACCTACTATTAAGTACTTTTCCAGTTCTCTTCGTATTAACCAATCAAATCATGTGATATTTGGTATACTTAAGAAAAATGGCTTTTGATACTTCTAATATTCACTCTTTAATCTTTATATTTTAAATTTTTGTATCAGTGATACAATCAGTATTCTTAGAGCATTGATTAATTTGTTTTAAATTTCACTTATTTATTTCGATGATGCTTCTTTCCCAACTGCAAATATTATGACCGTCCTTGCTAGCTACTATATGAACATCAAAGTGCCACACAAGAAAACTCACTCTAGCCTACTACACTCTTCACAATTAATAGTGTGTTTAATTGAATTTAAAATTTATTAAATAATTTTTTTTATTAATTTCAACTTTTAAGATTGAGTTTAAATATTTATAAATAATTTTTTTATAAAAAAATACACAATTATTATATTAAAATTATAAAAATATAATAATTTTTTAATAAAATTTTATTATTATTAACTATTTATTTTTAATGCTAAAGACGGAAGTTAACCAAACTCAACATTTAAATACACTTCAATTACATCCTTCTTAAAATACAAAGAAAGTAATAAATTATTTCCCACCTAAATTTTTACCATCTCGTACCAAATTGTTTTAACTTTTCTTATCAATTATTCATTGAAAAGCATGCTAAACCAATTTTTTTCTTAGCATAAACAACATGAAACGAGGGGAAAAAATTCATACAGTAAGTATATTATAGCTCACAAACTTATCCAATTTAGTTTGAGAGCATCGAAATGGATAATGACATTCCAATGATGAAATGCATTACCATGTTATGTGATAAAATATATTGTTATAGATAATTCTAAAACTGAGAAATTTTTAATGGACAAATGGTTCTAATTAAAGTGAACTAACAGTGAGAAAGAAATTGACAGGGATTGTATTAGTTGCGACTGTAGTTCCATTAGGGGTTTTTGAGTTTTATGAAAAAAAAAATATTATATTAAAGTTATAAAAATATAATCAATATTATTTTCAATAAAATTTTATTCTTGTATTATTAGATAGTTAGTTACTTACGTTAACCAAATTGAAATCAACTTTTCACATTTTTTTTCAATTCTTTCATAAATTTGATGAATAAATTTCTTCTGATTTGTTGGTTCTAGCTTGTAATGAGAAAAATTATATATAATTCACTATAATTAATTTTAGCAGCGTTACGTGATTATTTTGATAATAATAATAATAATCGAAGTTCACAAAAACTGCTCGAGCATATTTTATAAAAGTTGTTGAATTCATCCTTATTTTGAATATCTAAATTGTGGTCACATTTAACATTTTTAAAGTACTTCTTCAATAATAATATATTTTTTACTCTACTGTTCACATCTTCCACATAATACAGGGTTTCCTTTAAGAAAAAAATATCTCTCTTCTTGAGGAAATATTCGTACGAACCCTAGTTTGCTATACTAAGCTAAACATAATTACAATTTGCATTCGAATCTAAGATAGTTTTATTTAACTAATAAAAAGGGAAAAAATTAATATGTACATATATACATATTACAGAAAAAAAAGAATTATATAAATAATAGTATGATTTATATAACAATGTCCTCAAACTTGTCTAATTATTATTCAAAGACCACAATGCCAATAGTAATCAAACAAAAGTAAAAACTAAACATTTACGGATTTGAGCGTAAATACAAAAGAGAGAAAACTTAACCTTTCCATTAACACACAGATAAAAACAAAATTAGCGATCCATTTATAATTAATAATCTCAATAGATGCATTACCAAACTCTTTTCACATTCACTTTAATTTCTCATCCACCAACCAACAAATCAATATGATGCAAGCACCTCTCTCTCTGTGCCTACTCCTTTTTTGAAACTAATAAAGCCAAAGCACCCACCATCACACTCCATACTCACTCCCTCTTTCCAAAACCTCTCAGAAGAACCACAAAAATGGATCTTAACATGCCATTGTTACTAACCCTTTGCTGTATAACAACCCTTTCTCTACTTCAATCTTCCACATCCTCACGCACCACCCCATCACACACATCCTCTGAATTCACAACCAATGTTCTTGATGTCTCTGCCTCACTCCACCAAGCTCATCAAGTTCTCTCCTTTAACCCTGATCTTCTAGAACCTACCAACCAAGAAGAAACCCAACTCAACCCCACTTCTTCTTCTTCTTCTTCTTTTTCTCTACAGTTACACCCAAGAGAGACCATCCTCAACGAACAGCACCAAAACTACAAGTCCCTCGTCCATGCCCGCCTCGCCCGTGACTCAGCCCGAGTCAACTCGCTTACCATGAAACTCCAACTTGCCCTCGAAAACGTCAATAAATCTGACTTTTATCCGACACAAACTGAGCTCCGACCCGAAGACCTCTCCACGCCGGTTTCCTCCGGCACCGGCCAAGGCAGCGGCGAGTACTTTACCCGGGTCGGAGTGGGTCAGCCCGCGAAACCCTTCTACATGGTTCTTGACACCGGAAGCGACGTGAACTGGCTCCAATGCGAGCCTTGCTCTGATTGTTACCAACAATCTGACCCGGTTTTCGACCCGTCAAAATCATCCTCGTACGACCCGTTAACCTGCGAAGCGCAACAGTGTCAAGCGCTTGAAGTTTCCGCGTGCCGTAACGGAAGGTGTCTTTACCAAGTTTCTTACGGCGACGGTTCGTTTACCGTTGGGGAATACGTAACTGAAACGGTGTCTTTCGGTGGATCCGGGTCGGTTAATCGGGTCGCAATGGGGTGTGGGCATGATAATGAGGGTTTGTTCGTTGCGGCCGCTGGGCTTCTTGGGCTTGGTGGTGGGCCTCTCTCATTAACCTCGCAGATCAAAGCGTCGTCGTTTTCTTACTGCTTAGTCGATCGTGACTCGGGAAAATCGTCCACTCTTGAGTTTAACTCGGCGCGACCCGGTGACTCGGTTACCGCGCCGATGCTGAGGAACCGAAATGTGAACACGTTCTACTACGTCGAACTCACCGGCATGAGCGTCGGCGGCGAGATGATCTCCGTGCCGCCGGAGGCCTTCGCCGTCGACCAGTCCGGTGCCGGCGGGATCATCGTGGACTCGGGAACGGCAATAACTCGGTTGCAGACTCAGGCTTATAACTCGGTCCGCGACGCGTTCCGGAGGATGACTCAGAACCTGCGTTCCGCAGAGGGCGTGGCGCTTTTCGACACGTGCTACGACTTGTCGTCTTTGCAATCCGTGCGCGTTCCTACGTTGTCGTTTCACTTTGGTGCGGGGAAGACGTGGTCGTTGCCGGCGAAGAATTACTTAATTCCGGTGGATGGCGCCGGAACTTACTGCTTCGCGTTGGCGCCGACGTCGTCGGCGTTGTCGATCATAGGGAACGTGCAGCAACAAGGGACACGTGTCACTTTCGATCTTGCAAACTCTGTAGTGGGATTCTCGCCCAACAAATGCTAGATGTGTAATTTACATATTTAACCCCACACCTTCTATTTAATAGTATTAATTATTAATATCATAAATTATGATGATATTTATATGGTAGGTTTAGGTTCTTAGAAAGGCTCTTCCTCAGAGCATTGAATTGTTTGGGTGGGGATATGAAACCCTAAAGGGACCCACTCAAATTAATTTGAGAGAAGGTTTTGCCTTTGGAATTTGGATTGTGTGGGAGCATAAAGTAGTGATGTTTGGTTATTTTTCTTATATATTGAGAAAAATGGTTTGTAATTGAAATACTCAATGGAATGGCTTGCAAATTTTATTAAGCTTTGGGGCCATTTTAGTTTGAAGATTGGATTTTTCAAGCTTTGTACTATGTAGTGGTGCTGTCTAAGGCTTCCATGTAGGCCACCTAGTGAAACACAATATGACAATTATATATGATTAATTTCACATGGGTTTGTTTTGAGACTTGTGGATCTCTTATATTTGGATAAAACAAAGATTGAGGATGTTTGTCTCCTCATCTCTTTTTTTTCGATTTTTTTCTGGCACTGTGTTGACCGAAGTCTATTTGTTTCTTCATGCAAGCATAAGGAGAACAAATTTTGATTATAATGTGTTGACCAAAGTCTATGTGCTAGAATTTACAAACCCACAACTCTCTTGATGAAAGGTAACGTGAGATTATAATAATGTGTTTTTTTGTTGTTAAATAGAAAACAGCCAAGTCTAACTGGTCACATCGGAAGCTGGATAGGCTTTTTTTTATGATTATTTTTACATTATTTGACTTAATTTATTAAAAAAGTATACATAAAATATTTTTTTATGATTTAAAAATGTAAATATTTTATTTTCAATAAAAATGAATTATAGTTATGGGAAGTCATCTGAAGTGTGGTCTCATAGTGATAGATGCAGAATGGAGGGTCCCAATTTTTATTGCATTAAATTGTGGGGTCAAGAAGCCGTGATTGTCGGCAAAATAATGCATGAATTCATGGATCGTAGTAAATAGGGATAATGGTGTGTAGTTTGATATCATGTCTTCTGCCATTTTCGACAGCTGGAACCCACCGACTTCCCATTCCTCATTTCAAGAATATCAAATATGTTCAATTTTATTTTTCATTTCCTGTTTTCTCTTTCACATTATTAATAAGTAATACTGTTATTAGTTTATTTAAAAACTGATATTTTCTTTATATTTTTTAAAGACCCTTTTAATTTATCTCTTGTAATTAATCGATAATCACACATGGGTTCAATGTGTTTAATCTTTATTTTATGATAGTAATCTCACAGTAAAATTTTTAAATAAATGATGGTAAAATAGAAAAATTAAATAAATTTAATTTAGATTTAAGAGTATTGAATGATATACTTAACTTTTTATATTATAAAAAAAATTCCATCTTCTGTGAAAATCTTAAATTTTTACCATTCTTAGGAAAATATTTTTCAAAAAAATTAATTAAAAATATTCTTAGAAATATAATTTTTTAATATAATTTTTAAAACAAAAATCCTAAACATAAGAATTTAATATTCTTAATAAACTTGAAAGAATTTCACTTTCAGACGTCCCCTAACGACAGAGGTTAGTGGGAGGTAACTCCAAATTACAAAATCCTTACAATATCTAATTAATTTGATAATTAGGCATTACGATTTTAAATAACATGTACAAAATTATAATATTAAACTTTCATGCAAAGAAAATTCACCAATAGTTGAACGTTGCTTAGGTTCCTAAAGATGTAAATTTGATTAATTTAATTCCTATTATTTCCCCATTCATTCAAGGGTAATAATTTTCATGTCTAACGTAATGAATTTAATCAAAATGGTGTCATTTTTGCATGACGATGTGGATACTTGGGATGCAAGGAAGAAAAGAAAATTCGAAAATTGAAGGCATTGGTTGGACTGCAAACGTTGAAAGCAAGAACTATCAGTTTTCCACAATAATGCCATTGACAAAATGCATAAACGCAAGTTGGTCAACTACAAATGCTGCAAAAAGTAAGTGCAAGTCCCAAAATATGTTATCTCACTTGTAAAAATGCTTCACGTGTTATGCCACTAATAAAGCCTCAAATCTTGGAGCTTTTCCTCATCCATTGTTTCATGTTGCCTGGGTCATCACTTCCTACTGTTTTATAATGAATTTATGAGAAAAGCATTAAGGAAGATGTGTTCACATTGTGAGTTTGTGGTAATTCTTATGCTGAAAATTTGCTGTGTCGTTGGACTGCATTAAAAAAAGATATAAATCTATAAGGCATGAAAAACTTTTGCCAACCAATTATTACACGTTGGGATAATTCAAAGAGGTATGTAATCAAGATTATAAAAGATGACGGTAAGTCAGTGTTAAAAATGTAGTTAATTGAAAAATAATTTTGAGTCTTGGGGTATAGCTATATTTTTTGGAAAAGGGGTTTATAGCTATATTAATATTAGGAAGATATTTTTTCTATTTATAATAATTTTACCTGATTTGAGAAAGATTAACTCTTACAAGAAAATCATCGTATAGAAGAAAAGTTAAATATTTTTTTTTTTAAATAACTGAATTACATTCCAGCTATCAGACTATTGTTCAATAGTATTTTTATTTTCTCTAAAGATAGGTTCTATTCCCGAAAATAGGTGAAGATTGCTTGACGTAGTGGCAACAGCTCCCTTCATACATCCAATTCTTGAAAAAGATTATTGTGAGCCTTCTTTAAACTTCAACAAGTCTATGAAAACATTTGGCAATTTTAGAAAAGAAAAATTTACCCAACATATAAACCGTTTTTGAAAGAGGTTGACAAAACCCTTTTTCAAACGCAAGTTAGGGTACGTATGAACTATGAAGGAGTGCACATCACAGTTGAAGATAAGGAATCATGATGAACATGACATCAAAGCTTGATGATATTTTTCTTTCTTTACCCTTTTTTCTGGTATGGTCAAAAGTGGAATCATTTAACCAATTGAAGAGTAGAGCCATCCATAAAATCACTAGAAAAGTTACCACGTAACAAACTTTTTTCGCCAAATAACACAACCAACTTTCCTTAAAGTGTAGCTTCCACAGCAAACAACCAAAGAAGAATGGATGTTCAGTAACGTTAGACAGTGTATAGCTAGTCAACTCAAGGAGTTATGATAATTTAAATATTGTTAGTGCCCTCAAGTAATGTGAAACTATTAAGGCCATGTAATAAACATTGAATTAACTTAGCTATCAATTGTTTCCTGGCCATTGCCACTGGGGGCACAATTTTCACTGTTGAAAATGGAATTTAGTCCTTGTTAATCACTTTACAAGACGACCCTGTTTATTTCAAAGTCAACAACTACTATATGCTGTACTTTTTAAGCACTCTTGACAATACCTTGCATCTTTATCAAATCCCTGTAGCAAAATAATTCGTACTGCTTCCAATATTTATTGAAATGCAAAATTCAAGTGAAAAGAAAATTATTTAGAACCAAAATCCATGTGCCTAGGACCCTATTGTCATTTCAAACTTTTGCAAAATCCACGATCAATGAGAGTACTATTGCCAAGATGTGATCACTCTAACAAAACTGAGACGCCTTAAAGAGAATAGAAAAGAACAGGTATACGATAAAAAGGTTTGTCTTCATTTTATTAGTGGGTGGGATCCTGGTCCCCTTTTTCTTATTTTTTTAAAAAATAATTAGATAAATTAATTGACACCAGCACATTAACACTATAAAATATAAATTTATTAATTTAATTATTGAATCATATAATATTGTTTGAATAATTGTGTATTAAATTTTAGATATTTGTAAACAAATTTTATCTGTATGAAAAAAAAAAATTTAACCGTTTGATTAAATGAAAAAATTGTAAAAAATTATTAAAAGTATAATTGTTACTAAAATTACCATCTAACGTCAATCATATAGCAAAAAGTCATAATTTACCAATTAATATAATTACGACGTTGAAGTTTATTGATTTTCAGTCCATACTTCTTTACATCAATTTTATAGTGTTTTGCCATTCTCGAGATTAAAAAAAAATGCCTCTATTTCATCGCAACCGTGTATAGAATATAAAACAACAGTGATATGTACAATATATTTGATATTTGAATATTGACAATATGTTTTCGTTCTGTTTGTGAAAAATGACCACTGAAAAGAGGTTGCAAACACACCACGTACACCGTTCAGTTAGAGAAAACGACCTCTGAAAATTGATTTGTATTACGGTGCTCGTGGAAGATCAATATTTCTCTCTCCAATCAGGGATTCCTCTGGCCCATTACTGCAGGAAAAGAGAAGGGTAAGGGTCACTGAAATTCATCATCTATAGTAGTTATAATAACAATGAAATTAGACATAAGATATTTTACCTAAGATAACTGAGAGCAGACATTCGGTAGAGACAAGTGAAGACCAAGATATGCAATCCAATGGTATAAAAGAATGCAAAAGTCCGGGCATACCTGAAAGAGGATTCTTTATCAGTTAACGAAACAATTAATGATGAGTTATGAGCTCGCAAGTCAATGTATTAGAAGAATCGAGAAAGTTATTTTTCCTCCATTAATTACGATATCAAACAGATTAACAAATTATTTGTGCAGAAGAAAACAGGAACATAGAAGAATGTCTGAAATTAGGCAGAAGCATACTTGTTACCAAGGAGAAAACGTCCACTGCTGAGTGTAATTCTGTCCCTGAATCCCAACTCCTTGTATCTTTGATCCCTTTCCTAATTATATGTAAAACAGATGGACCAGTTCATAATCAGAAATAGATAATACTGATTAGAGAACACAGTGACAGATAACTTTTTAATGTTTCTAATTAATCACTTCCTTATTTTTCCTCCAATCCCAATCCACCCACCCTTTTCTAGGTAAAGAGCAAGATGAGAGAGGATGATATATACATGAGAGTCCAGTGTTCAATAGCTTCAACAGGGAACAACTATTTAAATTTATGTTTAACCAATACAAGTTTAGACTTTCAATCAAGGACATAATAACAGGCATTCTTCTCTGTAGCTGATGAATAGACACACCATTTTTTAATGTCAGTAATAATACACCTGAAAACTCAAGTTATTTCACTAACACAAACAGTTGTGAGGTTTTGTTTGACAGCATCGACCTTAGAATAGATAGAAATTTCCTTCAAAGATATTTTTGAGCAGTTTTAGACTGTCATTAGAGTAGTGAAGCTGTGCCACCTAAAACACCTAAAACGTGTGAGCCAATTATTTCTCTAATGCTGTAATTCATTAAAGAAGTCAAGATGAGTCACCTTTTTCGAGAATGCAGCAAAAGGATTTATATCATCCTCGTATATCTTCTTGTATTTAGATTCAACATCCGACGTGAAACCACTTTCAAGATCTTCTGCATACTGAGCAAAAAATCACAAACAGATCTGAAGTTCAGCGTAAAAGGGAAAAAAAGATTATCTTGAAGAAAGACAGGAATGATTTACAACAAAGCACAATTCAAAAACCTTTTTAGAACCCCTAGAAACCACTTTCTCAAGATTGTAATCTTGTACATAACGAATCTTCCCATATAGTTTGACGTTATCAGCTTTGGTATTTTC